CGTCCCCAAGTTGTATCAAACATTTTTTTGGTTGTGCTACTACGGAAAATTGCCATACATTTGTACTACTTTTATTCGCATTGCATATCTACATTTATTTTTAATTATGCAGTCCATTGCTCTCTACACAGAGACAAGTCTGTGAAGGACAAAATCTTGTAGTCCTTGCTTGATTTCATTGTTTACTAATAATGTGGGGGCTGCTTTGCACTTTTCTTCTTTCATTGATGCTATCTCTGCTTTCGAAAGAAGTGTATTTCCTGTACATATTTCCCTTTGGTTTAATAGGATGTACTTCGAAAATAAATTTTCTAAGTGGCATTCCACTTTGGATCGCAATTTTGTTGTTCTGCAACTTAGGTCCATGGAAGTAATACATTCTTTTTTAACCCGGGGTTTCAATTCTGGGTATTATATGTCAATGAATGATATTAATGTTGTCATGTTTGATTCTGCTACACAGTCCCCTTGTAACGTTGGTACTTTATTTGAACTTTCAGTCTGAATATGTACCTCTCACCTCATATCATAGCACTTTTTCATGGAGCAGGACAAAATGGAGCAGGGATAATCAAGTTAAAATACGATCTTGTCCTCCCATGTCGAGGCCAAGTGCACTCCAAATTAAACCACTGACCACTCAAGTTTCAAAACAGGATATGTTTTATCATGATACAAGGCTCTGAATTGAGGAATCATTCAACATGTGTATTTATTACCTGAATTTTTAGCCGCAGGTGCAAATTAGTGCAAGTTTTCTGTATATTACACAAGAACTGCATGATTTTGCACTGTCTGCGCCTACAGAACCAATTAATTAGGATGATTTTTCATATATTTATATAGTAATGTTAAACTAAGCGTGAGTGTATAATAGTAAAAAAATATAGTATTTTTTTATAAAATGTGGTAAATTACAAACTTGGGTAGAAAGAATTTTTTTTATAATTACTACATTTTGACCACGGTTTTACTAGATTTTGTATATGGCGTTACTAGGAGTGTAGAATAAGCTATATATATAGAAACACACACACACGCACGCACGCACGCACGCACACACACACACACACACACACAAAACCCAGAAAAACTGCTCATATATTTGTATGCATCTCTGCCATACACAGTATGCATGTTCAAATCAAAGATAAATCCTCTAACTGGCATCCGCAAAATAAAAAAGCTAATTTGACATGGCATAACTACAAATTACTAGTAACTTACACGTGCCTTGCACGCAAGAGTGAAGTGTGACCCAATATCGACACACAACATTATAATAGACAATTATATACATTTGGAATCGTGCACAAATGAAATTTAAGTTGAGGTTTAAGTCTCATCACCCATCCCATTCGAAATCAAATTATAACTACATAATATTTGATGAATGTGGTAAATACTACACAAAAATCATGTGAAACGTGTAAGAACAGTTGAGTATTACATTTGCAAAGAAAATTGGATTTTGGAAAGATGTTGCGTTAGCTTTGAACAAAAAAAATTAAAGTAAAATAAATGTCAAGTCTTTTGGAAGAAAATTTTTTTTTGGGAGAACTGAAGTATGCAAGAGTCTAGAACAAATGAGAAGTGTATGTGTTATGTGCATACCGTACAACATAAAAAATAGAATAATGAATGTCCATTCTTTTAACAGAGGAAACCATGAAGAATTGAAGTCTTGAAGAATCTAGAACAAAGAAGAAATGTCTTTGTTTTCAGGTTTGTGCATAAGCACAAGTGTGGAATATTCTAGATTAGTACACGTGACAGAATCCAATATAGTGGAGAGAATATCCAACGGCCAAGACTACTTGGATTTGCCACCTCCCAACCGTGCGCCACAAACATCTCAGCTTTGTACACGGCATATTTTCTTCAGTGAGCACCATATACTTTTCTTCAGTTAACAGCATACAAGGCACACTTTAAACCTTGCAGCATTTGATAAAATAAAATAAAAACCCTGCGATGAGGAAGGCGGAGACGATGTCGACGGCGTTCGATTGGGTTCGGGCTGCTTGACGTCGGCGTTGTGGGGGTCGCCGGGTCGGGCCGGAGCCGGAGGACAGCGAGGGAATGGGTGCCAGACTGCCAGGGCCGTGACTGAACCCGCGGCTGTCGAGTAGCGGGCGACACTTCGTCAGTTATCGGGCGGCTACAGCTGAAGCGGGTATAAAGCGGATGGACGGCTAGGATCAACAGCTATCGGATCGTGGGGCTGCTGGCGAACCAAACGTCGAAACGTGTCGGTGCTCTGACTCTGAGCGTTCGTGCGTGTGGCCGACGGTGACTCGGTGAGAGTGAGACGACCGGCGACTCTGGGTCGTCTCGTCGTGGGTTTAATTTTATTTTTTTATGCGAGCACGAGTGGCGCACTGCCTTCCTCGGCCACTACACGATTATCGATGATGGACGCGCTGGTGTCAGCTGGCCCATGTCGTGCCCGCATCGTGTCATGGCCCGGCCAGTGGGCCACATGGCTTTTCGCTTCATTCATCAATGTGCTCGTGTTGTGTTTCTAAAAAGGAAAAATGTGCTCGTGTTGTGGGGTTCACAAAAACAGGAGATCGAGCGATGTAAACCAGTAGGAAACTGCACAAACCATCAACAATTGGTGTCCCCTAAAAGAAAATCAACAATTGGTGTTGACTTTGCACAGAACGCTTATTTTTCAGATTTGTTGCACAAAACATCATCTATTGGTGTAACTCATCATAGCTAGCTCTGATCCATCGTTTGATCGTGTTGACATGATTTCTAATGTGCGGATCCCGCTTGTAAGTGTACACATGGCAAAAGAAAAATACTTCACGCCTGCCGAGCAATAAAAACCACCAATATTCACAGTTTTAGTTGCTCATTAAAGCTTTTGATTTAAAACTTAACATTTAAAAATCTCAACAAAAATCAGTAAATCTTGCATATACCCAATACTCGTTTGATAACTTTTTAACTTTTTTGGACCACGTGCTTTGGAGAAATTAGCAGTGTATTGGCTCAATCTTTTTTTCCTTTCAAAAAGTCAATCGATCTGGATGTCATTTCTGTTACTTCTAATGTTTTTTGTATTGTCATGATGTTTGATAAACAAATCGAAAGTTTTTTCTGCAATTTTTTTTTCAAAAAATACCAACAAATCATGTATGTACCAAATATTGATATGCAAATTATTCGAATCATTTTGACCATAGTTTTGGGAGATATTCAATGTTTTAGTTAGTCCAAGTTGGTTGATGTGGCATATTTTTTGCCACATGTACATTTACAAGTGTGATCCACCTGCTAGAAATAATGTCAACATAATCAAATAAAGGGTTAGAGCTAGCCGTAACGGATTACACCATTAAATGTTGTTCTGTGTAGCAAACCCGAAGAGTAGGTGTTCTGTAAAAAATTGATCTCGATAGTTAGTGGGTTGTGCAATTTCCTCTATAAACCAGACTACAGCACTAAATTTTTCTCGACGATGAAACCCCGGTGGCTAGTGGTACGTGCTGCCCATCAGTGAATGTTGAAGGTTCTATCGGAGTAGCAGGAGCAAGAGCCTCTAGCCGATTCCTCATAATTTTATTTTTTATCCTGTCTTTTATTCTTAAATTATCTATTTTTAGGGAAATAATTTTTTCTATAATCTAGCAGCTCCCTCAAACTTAAGCCCTCAAACCTACTCGACCCCACATGAAAGCTTCTCATATAGGCTCACCTTAGGTGACATACACGTGCGACAAAGGAATCGAGTATGTAGGCGGAATTTGTCCTCCACGGGCCACGATTCGGGCACTTCTTCATCCGAATGGATTCTTCTCCTCTTGCTTCTCCTAGTGGCACAATGGTGTGGTCCGAAACATAACGAATCATAGAAATCGGCGATGGCCGGTGGGCGGCCATGGTTCTAGGTACAAAATGTATGTGAGCTTTTCCTCTACAGGTGCTCCACTGCAAGTGATGCAACTTTACTTGTGAGCGAGGACGGCAGTGAGGAGCGCCGTCCGGACAGGGACGCCGGAAGACGTGCCGCCATGGCCAAAGAAGATGGGGATGACAAAAAATGGGAATAAAAAATCACCTAAGAGCATCTCCAATGGACGCACAGAAACTACTCTGTACGCTAAAATTCGGGTTTTTTAGGCGCTGGAAGCTCCAACAGAAGCTGTAAAATAGTGCATGCACAAAAAAGATTGGGCACGCGCTAAAAAGCGCTATCAGAAGCTGCAAATTTGGGGCGCCGGATTGCGTGCGCTTCACATTTTGTACTACGTGTTTTTTGGCATCTGCTAAATCGATGTTGGGTCTGGCACGCTAAAAGTGCTAGAGTGGCACGCTAAAACTATTTTAGCGGGTGAAACTTTTATGCGCCTGTTGGAGATACTCTAAGATGGTGGGCAAGGGAGGTCGGACTCAGCTGAGGCGCCACATGCAGTGAGGTAACCAGTGACGAGGTGGATGACAATGTGTATTATTACTCGTCCACCCCATCATACATGGGGCACATCAAAGCTTAGATCAGCTGAGAAATGATAGCAAACTCAACAATGTGACCAACATGGCAAACAAATCCTCCGTTGTCAGCACGACAACATGCAAAAACATCACAAGTCAAACACATTAGTTTAAAATACATTGCAATTAAACTGTAAGTAGTTTTAATATGGTATCATATCATTGTAGTTTTGCTGGAGGTTTATATGTCAAAGGCAAATTACAAATAGTTCTATTAAATCAAGATATGTTGGAGAAAGAATAAACAAACAAAAAAGGTAGGCCGGGGTTAACCTCGTCCTAAGTGGCGGACTGACTAGGCGCGTCAGCTAACCATCATATCATCCACATATATGGTCTGAATATGAAGGTTTGCAGACGGTCAAGACGTATAGGGAGTACTGACCGGCTGCATCCAGAGACGTTTGAGGAGGATTTGAGACGAGTAGATGCTCTTAGAATGGGTTTTGCTTCGGCAGAGTTCCTTCCGCCAATTTGGGCACAAGAGTTCAACGTTAGAGCACGTAATACATCAGGGTTAAGCTTAAAGGTGGCGTAACCGCGTAAGTTTGCGTGCCTCTGTATTGCACTCGGTGTTTCACTGAAAGAAAAACTGTGCCATTGACATTGCATTTGTACTTTGTAGTCAACACGACTTTGCACAGGAGGTCGTCTCGACACACAAGAGGAGAGGAAATGTCACACCAATACCGTTTATCTAATCCTCGAGCAATCATCAAATCCATCACCGTTCGCATAAGTCGTGAATGCGTCGCAAATTTACATAGAATCAACAGAATTCAGCACATCAATCAAACCAAACTAATGCACACGCTGCTAGTAGAAAACAGTGGATCGAACGATCTCCAAACCAGAACAGCACAAGGAGAAATGGCACCGGGGATGGGAGGAGCATGATGACGCATGAAAAATCACCGGAGATTTCGCGGCCGTAACACAAGGAGAAATGGGAGGAGGGGATGGGAGGAGCATGACGCATGAAAATCACCGGAGATTTCGCGGGCGTGGCCTGTCTACCTCATCATGCCGACGGGCGTGGCCGGCGCCCCCATGACCTGGCCGCCGGTGACGCCCCGGTTCCGGCGCTCCATGTTGGCGTCCCAGCCGATCCCCATGTCGAAGCCGCGGTTCTTGAGCTCCCGGTACTCCTGGCAGAGCGCGCAGAGCTCGCAGCACCAATGGACGAGGAAGTCCGGGCACTCCCCCTCGTCCAGGTCGTAGTGCGCCCGCATCTTGGTGCGGTAGACGCACGAGTAGAGGCACCCCATCCCCGTCGTCGCGCAGATGGCCGCGTAGGCC